TATTGTTGATAAAGGATCACTGACTTAAAAAAGGAGGGGGGGGGGAATCACTGACTTCGGTTATAAAAGGATGACCTTTTTAGTAATAATAATAATAATTATGATGGCACAGATTGGGTTCCCCCAGGTACGGGGTGGGCTGCGTTGAATTATGGGTACTGTTCGTTTCTAAGCCTCAGTTTCCCCGGCCATAAAATGCAGGTACAGAAATTGATGGTTTCTAGTGGCTACGGGGAATGGGGACAGAATTTCTATCATCCCCAGCACCTAGGACAGTGCCTGGGACTCAGTAGGCGCTCAAATATTTGAATTATCATCGGTGTTCGTAAGTCGCTGAAGTTCCATAAAAGAACAGCAGGTGTCGCCCCAGCACCATCGCCGCCAGCCGGAGCCTCCCGGGTTTGGTTAAGTCAGTCCTTAGCAGAAACTCACTCACTTGAATTCGGATTTTCCAGGAAAGGGACTTCCGAAGACCACATTACGAGTCCCTTCTCTTGAAAAACGGATTTCTCACTTGGAAAAAAAAAAGGGGGGCTCTGGCCCTTTAACAACTATGGAGCGTGGGCTACGTCCTCGGGAACCGTTTCCCAGAATGCGCCGCGTCATGCAAATAACGGTTTCCAAAGCGAAGATGATGCTTACCATGTGAGGCAAAGATAATATTTGGAAGTCTATCAGTCACAATAAATAACTGGTTGGAATTTTTAGTTATTGAAGTAAACAATCCCATAACCTTCCAAACTACACAACCATAACCATAAAGAGGTAGGAATTGTTGTGCTTTATATAGCTGAGCACGGGTAGGAGTGTCTCGCCCGGATGAACCTCAGTGGTCTGGGGTGCAGGCTTCAAACCTGTAGCTGTCTAGCGACAGAGTGGTTCAATTCCACCTTTCGGGCGACACGTTTTTCCTCTTTTTTTTCTCTCCCCAATATGGACTTTAGCGTGCGGATTGACGCCGGCACCTGGAGAGGTCGCTGCAGGCCTCTGCATCACCGCGCATCCTAAACCTCGCGGGTCTCTTCCGGTGGTTACATCTTTCCCGCGAATTTCAAAGACGGAGAAAGACTCATCTACCCTCTCGGTGCTAGGATATTTGGTTTCAGGATTATATTGGATTTCTCCCTTTCGCTTACCCACTCACTCATTTGTGCTCACGCGTGCACTTTATTAACCAGTGAAATATGTATTCATTTTTATTCATTCATTCATTCATTCATTCATTCACTTATTTATCAAGGATGTGTTCCATGCCTGGCCCTGTACTGGGCGGTGCTGGGCACACGATGGTGACGACGACCCCGACCCTGGCCTCATGGTACTCCCAGTCCAGTGGAGAAGGCAAACACTGAACAATCATTAATTGCACTTTTGATGAACAATTAGAAAGGTGGTGACTACTAAGAAGGAAAGTACAAAGTAGATGAGACATCTAATAAGGAGAGCTGATGTAGGCGGGGTCGCAGGGTAATATTTGAGCAGAACCTGAAGATGAGAGGGGATTAGCCAGCAGCGGGGGTGGGGGTGGGGGTTAAGATATTCCTGGTGGGAGTCAGGGTGGCCCCAATAATGACAATGACGATGGGGACGGTGATAATTGCTGTCACACGAGCTCACTGACTCCTCACTGATAGACCCTCCCTTCCCCCAACTGGTGGGCGGAGTATGCACTCACTACCGGCCCATTACGCAGCAGGAGAAACAGGTTCAGAGAGATGAAGTTCTTGCCCAAGGTCACCCAGCTTTGGCAGCCTCCCGCCCCGGCTCACAGACCCCGGGGGACCATGTTATTGACCACTTCTCTGTACCGTCTTTTGCAAGCCAGCTCCTCACCAAGTCCTGCATGCTCTACCTCTTCAACTGCTTTTAGATCCTTCGCCTCCCCTCTCTCCCCCACAGCCTTGGCCCTGTTCCAAGACTTCCTCACACTCCAGTGCCCCACCCTAGCATCCTCCCGGGTCTCCTGCCGGACGCTTGTCCCTTTCTCTCCCAGCTACCGTTACCCTGTCCCCGCCCTTCTTGTGCCCCAAACCTGCCCTGGCTCTAAAGTCTCCGTCCGGAATTGATGTCTGCGGGATGTGGTCCCTGCTAACCTTTTTCTCTGTATCTTTTGTCCCAGCTACTGTGACCCTCCAGCTTCCTCAGAGTAGCAAGCCCTCTCTCCACCAACAGCTCTCTGTACTCACTGCCCGGGTCAGCCCCAGTCTGTTCCTATTTATTCCCTTCTACACCCCCTATGTATCCTCTAGGACTCAGCCCAGCTGTCCCCTTCTCCGAGAAGTCTTTCTTGACTCCCAGACCAGATTAGAAGCCCCCCCCTGGGCTCCCCCGGACTCACGGACTCTCCCAATCCTGTTCACTTTGGATCATCCCTGACTGTGTACCCCACTGGACTGTGTACCCTATTCTAGGAGAGGAGAGCCTGGCCTGTCTCAGTCCCCACAGGGTCTCCAACACGGCACAGCACAGGGCTGGGTGCATGGCAGGTGCTCAGCAAAACTGTAAAAAGTAACTAATAAAATCCGTGACAACTTTCTCTGCTTGTCCCTTTAAGTTACTGGGCATCCGAATGACCCCTGGAACATCACTTCCATTCCCGGAGTGCTTGCTGCTCTGCCAATAAGTGAGGGCTTGGGTTTTGTAACGGGGATGGCTCAGCTGTACCTTTTGGCAAAGTGACAATGTTTCCTCTCTAGTCAGTCGTGGGTTGACCCTGATAGGTTGCTCATAAGCCAGAAGTAGTCATGCGAAAAGCAAAAGGAAATTCATCTCCCTATTTTGCATCATCTATATCTTTGTAGTGCTTGTGACTTCCGAAGGCCAACTTAAATGTTCTTCCAGAATCAGGGTGTATTCATCAAGCTGCTCTACTTGTGCCGTTTTCGCTCAGAGCACCCCCAGAGCAGACAGGGTCCCACATATTCCTTCCTCATAAGGAAACCTCCCTGGCTCTTTAGTATTTCAGTACCACACACTTGACAGCTAATATTCGGCTTTTTTTTTTTTTCTAGCAGGAGGCACAACCTGTGTGTGGGAAGTCCTCCTGACTATCTACCCTCCCTCCATCCTGCTGTAGGCTGATTCACTAGCAGGAGTTCTGTGTGTGTGTGTGCGTGTGTGTGTGTGTGTGTGTGTGTATAGTCCCCGGAGCAATCTAACCTTCACTCCCTTGTGTTGAAAGGAAGGCAGGTGATGGGTGTCAGGAGAAAATAGATCCCGAGGCTTGGTGGATGCATCTTTAAGAGCTTTTTTATTGGCGACAGTGCAGAACCATGGGGGGAGGGTAGTGGCCCAGGGCCAGCCAGTCCCAGCCCCCTGGGGTCAGGTGCAAAATACAAAAAGAGAATCACAAATACAGAATGGGATGGGGGAGTCAATAAACCATGGCCGGCAGGGGCAGGCCCTGCTCACAATCTCACACTGGCACCCGGAATTCTCAACGATACAGACTGTGAAAGCCCATGATCCCTCAGGCTTACTCACAAAAATAAAATCTCATGTCCCCAGCAAACCCACAGTCAGAAGGCAGCTGGCCGGTCAGGGACGGTCAGAGAGGAGACAAGTGGAAATGGTCAGAGACACACAGGCTGGGAAGAGATGGGGGAGGGGGGGGGACGGGACACGGGAGAGAGACAGCCAGAGGCTGCCGGGAACAACCAGAGGGGCCGAGCCGGTCAGAAAGGACGCAGCTAGAGACAGGCCGACCGAGACAGCCGGAGGGGGACAGGCTGCCTCCAGATTTCCAGAAGCAGCATTTCCAATTCGAGGGCATGGCTTTGGGGGCCAAAGTGACCTAGGTTGAGGTTGCAGAAGCGCTCACACGCTCACACGCGCGCGCACACACACACCCATATATAATATATTTATTTATACATAATAGATATAAGTGCCTTTCGGAAACCAGGAAAGGGATAAATAGCTATGGGAGGGGTCTGGGAGGCGCAGGACGGGCACGTGGAATGTTCTCCATGCAGCACGAGGGTGGCCTGGCCCACCCGATTTTGAAAAATATCAGTTTTTGCTTCACAATAAAATTCTCATGAGGTGAAGCACAAGGAAAAGGTGGGGTGCGGGGGGGAAGCCAAAACCAAGATTTGGGACTGGGGGGACGGGGAGAGGAAGCTGGGCTCACGGGAGCCCAGCCCCTTCCAGTTCACCAGTCCAAAAATATTGGGGGGGGGGTTGGGGACCAAAGCCTCAGCCTTTAAATCTTCTCCGGGAAAATAATGGGGTTCCCCCCTGGCAACCTCCCTTTCTAGGTAAGATGTGGGGGTGCCCAGGGGAGAGAGAAATTGGCGTCCTAGGCCGGGGTAGGGTGATAGGCCTTGGAGAAAAAGGCCGCATCTCGGGGGCTGGGGGTCCTGAGGAGAGAGGCCGAGGGGTCACCCCTCTCGAATCTGTCACCCCCTTGAGTCTAACTCACTGCCGAGGGGAGGAAGGAGGCAGGCAGCGGGGAGAGAAACCCAGAAGAGGCTTCGGGGAGCGGGGCGCACAATCCCCCCGGAAGGGCTCGGTCCCACCCGACTCCCCTCTCCACTCTTCCCCCCACAACAGGCCAGCTCATTTCACAGTATAAACACTCCAGCAGGACAGGCATCACAGCGCCCCCTGCTGCCCGAACCAGAGAGGCCCAACCAGGAAGGCCAGGAGGGGAGGCCGACGGGGCGCGGCTGGGAATAACACTGTCATCGGACCCGGGGCTGAGCGCGGGGCACCCCCGAGGGGGGGGGGGTGAGAAACCCAATCAGAGGCGGTGTCGCCGGTAGGGGGCGGCTGGACGGCCGGGGAGGGAGGCTCACATTGCAGACTGAGTCTGGGTCGGGGGAAGGCGGTCCCCCTCGGGGAACACCCACTTCCCTCCAAAGGGGGCTCAATTCAGAGGAGGATCTGACCCAGGAGCAGGTGGATCACTCAGCTCAGGGCGGGCAGCAGGGAGGACCAGCCTGATCGCCCCCTGAGGGCGGGCCTGGGGGACACCGGGGAGGGGTCTGGGGCGCGTCCAGACGACCAACAGGCAGCTGGGGATGGACACCCCCATCCCCTCCCCACCCGCTGCCCCCAAAGTCACCAGCTTCCTGGCCTCGCGGGGCCACAGACACCAGAGGCAGCGCAAAACCCAGGAGGCCCTCCTGTCCGGTGCGGTGCGGTGCGGGGGCTGCAGAGTCCGGCAGGAGAGGCGGGGGAGCCACGCACCCGCTCAGCCTCGTCCCCCTTCTCCCCTCTTCCTCCTCCTCCTCCTCCTCTTGCAAGTCTCCCCCGTGTGTTTGTCTGTTTTGAGTCTCAAGAGTTCACAGAGCGAGAAGGGAGGGCGAGTTCAGGGGGTCGGAAGGCTGGTCGCTGCCGCTGGTGCGATGGGCGCTGGCGAACGCGGAGACCTCCGGGCAGGTGAGGACAAACGAAGAAGTGTACGAAGGGTTAACAACGGGGAAGGGGTCGCCGAGGACTTGGACTTCACTGTGTGTAAAGAGAGAAGCTGTCAGGTTGGGGGGTGCGTCCTGGCCGGTCTGGAAGGGCAGGGGCGGTGGTGGCGGGGGCGGCAGCAGCCAGCCGAAACCATCTTCCTTAGCGGGCGCTGGCCCCGGCAAATCTCTCACCTCCGCCAGCGGGCCGGGGCCCGGCCCCTCTTCGTAGGGGATCTTGCAGCCCGGTTTGTGGGCCACCAGCACAAACTCCAGGCGCTCCTTCTCCTTTTGGAGCTCGGCGATCTCTGACTCCAGCTCCGCCTTTTCCTCCTCCAGCTGATCTGTCTCCTGAGCCCCCAGGTCATGCAGAAGAGGGAGGAAGGAGAAGAGAAAGACCATGAGCCAAGAGAGAAGGAGGGTGGTGGCTGGAGCCGTGAAGCCCTGTCCCTTGGACTTGCTGCTGCGAAGGCCCAGGGCTCGAAGGCAGCTCTGGCTGAGAGGACAGGCCCCCTGAGGTGGGGGTCCTGGTGCTGTGGAACCCGGGGCCAGGGGCTTTTGCCTTTTAGGAGCCTCAGTTTCCCCATCTGCCCAGTGGGTGGTGGGGCGGCGGCCAGGCGCACATGGGAGTGTCTGGTTTGTTGAGTGAATGAACGGTGGTTATGTTTGTCTTGCTACCTCTGTTGGCCAGTCTCCTCTGACCCCCCAGGAATGGACAGACTCTCCCCGGTTCCTCTAGGATCAGCAGGTCACACTGCCAGCCCAAAGCAGGACACTCTCTGGTCGAGGGAGGACGTTACAGGGGAGGGGGACTGCTGGATGCCACCAGCCCACAGTCTAAGAGCTATGCGGGGCTGGGGTGGGTAGTGGGGCATTGACATCGGACAGGAGGAGTTCAATTCACAGACTCTCTGAGATCTTAAAGCTAGAAGGGACCTGGGAGACCTGACGAGGGGTGGAAGAGATGGAGAAACTGAGGCAAAACGGGTTATTGCTTGCCCAAGACCAAAGGGGAGGAATGCCTACAGTTCCCTCTATTCAAGTTCCATCATATGCCACCTCGGCAAGAAGTGAAGGCCAGGAG